AGAAGAAGAAGAAGAACAACAACAACAACAACAACAACAACAACAACAACAACAACAACAAGAACGACACTAATTCAGAAGATGGTGAACGACTCAACTATTTTCGCTAGGATCGGCCTTTCGGTTCCCATGGAAACGCTGCCATTTTGAACTTCAGTTTACAAGAAGAACCCCCGCCCAAATGGAAAAGAAGTAAACCACTCGGAATTTAAAGGCGATAATATCGTCCCTCGGTGTGCTGGCCCGAAATGTTCACAACAGATCTAGATTCTAGATGTAAAACGCTACCGATTTTTCTTCTTTTTTTTTTTTTTTTGAAATATTTTTTTTCTCCCCATCTTCGATTACATTTTTTCCCCTAGATCCCTATAGATCTAAGCGAAACGCTATGTTGTTAGAAAACAAAATTCCAACATTTGAGAGACTCATTTGCTCCGTTACATTATATAAATGGAAGAGTATGAAAAATCCCTCGTCTCAAATTGTTCGCTTCGCCTTAAATTTTATCAAGTTAAACGATGAAAAAAAGAATTGGGAGTGAAAGAGAAAACAAAAGAAAAAAAATAAACAAACAAAACACACACACACACACATACACACACACACACACACACACACACACACACACACACACACACACACACACACACGCACACCCACACCCACACACACACAAGCCGAGTGAACACACACTTACGTCAATTTCTTTCTCCAGGCAGTTGACGTCGGCAGCGGACTGGTTGAGAGACTCCAGCTCCGCCTGAAATATAAAAAGGAAAAAAAGATCATAATATTAATAAATGTTATGACAAAGGCGACGGTGCGGCGGCGGAGCGGTTAGTGCGCTCGCCTCCGAAGCGGGAAGTGCGGGTTCGAGCCTTGCTTCGGACACGGGTTTTTTTTCGGCCCCTCCTGCCCACCCAGCAGTAATAGGAATAGGTACCTGACTTCGAGTTAGGGAAGTAAAGGCGGAGTGGAAAGGAACTGGCCATCCTACCAAAATATGCCGAAGGCCCAGTAAGTCGTCTCACTAACAAGGCAACCCCCAATGTCCAGATCGGATGTGGGAACAACTTTACTTTTATGACTGAGGCAATGTGCGGTCTTGCGTCGAGCATGCTGCGTGACTGTCTAGGACACATTAAGCAGCGTGAGGTTGAAAGCCTGAAAACTCCAGAAAACGACCCGAGTTTAAGAATGCCCAGGCTGGGATTCAGTATCGAACCAGGGCCATCCTATCCAGGTCCATAGCCCAGCTTGATACTTACTCAACC